CACACACACACACACACACACACACACACACACACATTCCATTTTCCGAGCGAGAGAACCACCCACATCATCATGTCAGATCAGCCTAAACAGGTCAGGCCACCTTAAGCTAGATCACTTGTGAGGGACACAATAAATAAACAAACTAGGGATTTTAATGAAACGCCCCCCCCCCCATGCCTCACTCAAACTAAGTCACTGAGTTCCAAAACAGAAGGATAAAAAAAAAATCCCCAGGTGGGTTTGGAGCCACGGGCTGCCGACATGTGTCCTCTGTCTGCCAAACTTAAGTCATGCTGACTCTCACCAAGTCAGTCCGTGCGTGTGTGTGTGTACCGGATGGTGAAGATGAGCAGGTCCTGAGCTCCGGGCGCTTCCAGGTTCTGGATGGTGCTTACGCGGTCCAGACTTTGCTGCAGGAAGAGCCGGGCCGACTCCACGCCTTGACAGTCGGCCGAGTCCAAAGCGTGGACCTGCTTCCTGCCCGGCAGCTGAAACAGAAAACCAAAAGGATTCGGATCGCTTCCATCGGATCGGGTCACTTTGTTGACGCCGTCGCGCGTAAAGCGGAGCCCGTCAAATCGTTTTCGTCAAGTCAAGTCGGCTTAATCGTGTCCGCCAATCTCCAGAGGAGATCGCGGAAGCGAGCCGTGCGTGCGGTTCTGACCGGCAGAGGGGGGACCAGGTGCGACAGGCTGTCCCTGAGGTAAGCGTAGTGTCTGAAGGTGTGGTCCGAGAAGAGCGCCGGCATGGTGGGACACGACTTGGCCGCGTTGAACACCAACACCAGAACGGCGATGTCTGCCGTCGCAGTCAAGGACAACACCGACGGCGACGATGACAAAGATGACGAGAAGGAGGAGGAGGAGGATACAGGCCGGGTCGTCCATGTCGGGTTCCGGCGTGTCAAAGTAAGGGTGCGTGCTGAGCAGTTCCGGGACCAGTGGCAACACCAGCATCGGGTGGCGCGAACCCAAAAACTTGAGACACCTGCGGAGAGAAAGAGCAAGACGGTGCAGAGGCGCCACGCAAAACAAAGGAAGAAAGACAAGAAAAAAAGTTTGCTCATTTGGATGCCTCCTTTTAACGTGGGGCAATATCAGTCTTCCGTGGCCCCGCCCCCCCGCGTGAAGGCACTTTGCCCATTTGCGTTCCTCCAAAGAAGCCCTTTGCCCACGTCCGCTTGTTCTTTGAAAAACGTTTGGGGTTTATTTCCTGACGCTTTGCAAAGCATTTCCGGCGGGCTCGTCAGCTGATGCGGGAGGAAGAGAAGACGCGGCGCGGCGAGCAAAAGGGCGCAGCGGAGGCGCTGTGCGAGGTGCGCGCGGGTCTCACTTCCACACGGAGTTGCGGTCGGCGGGATACTTGTTGAGGTTCTTGAGCAGCTCCAGCAGGGCCAGCTGGATGCACTCCTTGGTGGACACGTTGGTGTAGCACAGCAGCTCGTGCAAAGCCTCTCGGATGTCGCGAGACGAGTCCTGAACACACGCGTCGGTCATTTGCGTTGGGAAGCCAAAACCAGAAAGGCTGTCAGCTGTGACTTTGTCCCGCATTAATTTTAATAGCCCGGAGAACAGACATACTGTATGAACTCTCTCGGAGAAACATTAGGATGCCTCCAGGGACTTCTTCTAGATTTATTTTTAATAGCTTGGAGAAGAGACACATGAACTCTCTCGGAGAAACATTAGGATGCCTCCAGATCAAGAGTCTGGATGAGTGAAAACAGTTTGCTTGGATGTATTGGAGTACGGCGAGCGTGTTTTGTTCAAATGGGCCGCCGCCGCAGTGCTTGCATGCCGAAGAAAGCGCAAGTTAAAAGTCGTTGGGCCAGAGCGCAGACTTTCAAAAAAGTCACGGCGGAGTGCATGAAAATAGCGAGAGAGCGTCCGACTCGAAGGAGGCGGCGGTGGCATTTGGGGATGGGCGGCTACCTCCAGCACGGCCAGCACGGTGTCCAGCTGGTCCTCCCTGAGCGTGATGTGCGTGGAGATCTCTCGCAGCACGTGGATGGACTGCAGCCGCACCTCCTCGATCTCATCGTTGAACATGTCCACCAGGAAGTCCAGGCACTTCTCGGCGAAGCCGGCCGACGAACGAGCCAGCCGGCACAGGGCCTCCACGGCCGCGATGCGCACCTCTGCAGCCAAAGCGCGCGGACGCAAGCCCGGTCTTATGGCGCCGTTCGCCGCAGCGGGCGGGCCGGCCGGCGCGAGCGACACCTACCGAACATCTCGTCCTCCAGACCGTGGACGAAGGCTCCGCAGGCTCCCGAGGCGATCAGGTTGACCGTGTTGGTGTCCACTTTCTCCTTGGGGGCGTCGTCGGCCCACTTCCTGCCGGACGAGAACTCGCCCGAAGCGAAGAGCTCCTTGGCGCGCTCGTGGGCTGTGCGCTTCCGCTAAAAACGTGCGACAGAGGAGGAGCAGAAGGAGGTGAAGGCCACCTCAAACTCGGTCGCGCGGCGCCCACGGGCCCCAGCGGATCGCGCTAACAATGTTTTTGGGGTTTTTGCTGCTTGCGTGGCCACACTTCCCTCGCTGATGCTTTGACCTCTCACACTGGCAACTTTTTTTTTTTTTTAGCTCTTACCACTCTCGTCTTCAAAATTCACTCACTGCCATTGATGGCCACGGACGTCGAATGAGCTCGAGGTCCCGTGCCACAATTGTTTTTTCGAATTTCGAGCTTTCGAATTGAGGGATTTGGAAAAGGAGCTTTCGTCTCTTTGCTCGTTCCCGGAAGTGATGGTCGGGTCGGCTTGGTGGAAACTCGGTGGACCGTGGGCACAACTGTGGCCGGCCGCGGCGGCACGATGGCCCGGCCGGGCCCCAAATGATTTTCCTCTTTTTTTCCCCCCCTACCCTGGATGATCATGGCGGCCAATGAGACGGACTGACTGGCAGATAACCACACCCACTTTCAGTTGCACTCTCCGACTTGAATTTGTTTTAGTTTTGAAATCCCCCTCGACCTCATGGCTGGCCCGGAGAGCACCGACCAAGAATATGCCGCGTCATATTCCCAACCATGTGGCTAAAGCGACACGGGCATGCGGCGGCGGCGGCGGCAGCGTGGTCACGAATGCACTTTTCTGAACAGGCTGCTTCACTTGATGAGGTGGTGGCCACCACTCCCAAAAAGCCTGCCGCCTCTGTCCTATCCAAACAGAAACTCGGGCTGCGCTGGACGGGTATAAAGACAGGGTCCCGGCTAGACGGTACCGGCACGTCCTATTTTGGCCGTCAGGCCGCGGAGCGGGCGGACTCCGAGCCGCGCGCGTCCACTCACCCGCAGATCGGACATCAGCTTCTTGTCCAGCGTCTGCTCCAGGAAGTGAGGACTGACCTGCGACATGGAGCCCTGCCCGGCAACAAACAAAAGTGAGGAGGAGGAGGACCACCGCGTCGACCTGCGGCCTTTTCACATCGGCAAATGCATTCTTCGCGGATGACGAACGCCGCGGTTTTGCCGATGAAAAGGGCCATGCCGTTCGGCTGTTCCTGCACTAAACAACAGCAAAAAAACTGCTTAGATAACAAAAAGAAAAAAAACATACAGCGTCATCTAAAGCTAATCCACGATCAAACTTTGATGAACCATTTTGAGGCCGCGTGGAATTGAAAATTGTCCAGAAGCACTGAACGAGGAAATAAGCCTCCATGGTGATTTTTGGGTTGAATCCATCAAAAACAAGCGCAAAGCTCCGCTTTTGCTTTGGAAAGCAATGGGCAAGGCTTTTGCTGATTCTCGCACACACGAACGGTGGCGAGTGTGCATTTTCAATTTGAAACGGTGTCCAATTTTGGAACGAAGGGCCCGATCCATCCAGCAAATTCGCCACGGTTGTCCCGGCGCGCCCAATTGCGGGGGAGGAGGCGGACGCCTCACCAGCGTCTTGGCGGCCTGCACGCGCACCATCCACGAGCCGTCGCTGACCATGTGGCTGATCTTCCCGAAGGCGTCGTCCACCAGGCGGATCTCCTCGTTGGACGAGGGGATGGGCACGATGCTGACGGGAAGCGGGGGAGGGGGATGGGATGAAAGGTGAGCGCGATTGGTGTGCGCGCGACATCCGAACGGGACGGCGGCTCGGGGACGGACGCTTCGACGAATGAAGGAATGCGTCCAAGTCGACGACCGGACGAAGCCGCGGGCGCGCGACTTGATGAACGCAAGGCGGATGTCGGCACGGTTGGGCGGGGACACGAATGAATCGAGGACCAGAACGCGATCGACGAAGAGACGCGTGAGCGAGTCAACGTGCGAACAAAAGGAAAGGCGGCTTTTACTGACCTTTCCGGATACAAGACGCTCAGCACCCAAACCATTTGAACGGCGGCGGAGCGAACCTGCTCGTAGTCGTCCGCCAGCAGCCGGCACGCCTGCGCACACCGACGCGCGCTCGTCACAAGTCATCAAAGAACCGGCGGGGCGGCACGTTTCAATTCCGGCGAGCAAAGAGGAACTTTGGGAGAGGGGCAAGATTTTAAAAAGAGAACACTAATCATGACATAACAGCGGGAGTCCCGAAAGGCTTTGGACGGCAAACGCGAGGAGAGCGCGGCGCGGCCGTGTCCTTTTCGACCCGCGCCGAGCGGGAACCTTTCGGTGCCGGCTCGCTTTTGATTTCGTTGGTTTCTCTTATTTGGCGAGTTGCGCTCGGCGTCGACCGGCCCGGTCTCACCTGCTCGTAGATCACCTGCTGAATCTTGGTTCCCCGCTCGTGCAGCTGCAGCTGGAAGACACGCGCACACGCAAGACGAGAGTCAGGCCGGCGGCCCGGCGCTCACGCGGCCGAGGCGAGCGCTACCATGGCTTTGAGGGCCGCCGTGCGCACTCTGGGGTCCTGATCTCCAAAGAAGTCGCTGATGACGGTCGGCACGTCTCGGGCACCCCCTGAGCAAACAAACGGCCTTCTCAATCCAGACCACCGCCTCGCGTGCGCCCAAATCCTTTTCCGTCGCTCAATACAATCACTGGACGGCGGACGTGTCGAGAGGCGCGCTGAATTGTCGCCCCACCGATTGTGTTCAAATGTCCTTTTCAAAAGAGCAATTCCTCCCTCTTTTCGCAAGGGAAAATTCAACTTTTCTTCCAATCTTTGGCTCTTGTCAGCTTTTATCATTTATCTTCAGATACACATGCGGACTACGCGTTGGACAGTGTGCCTCATCAAGTGTCTTTTGGGTGCCAACCCACCGGCGGACGTGCCGGGAGCCTCGCCGTCCACCGCGCCCACGCGTCCCAGCAGCTGCAGACATTTGGTCCTCACGCCGAACGAGGCGTCCGACAGATGCTTGCGGGCCACCTCCGCCAGCCGCTGCCCCACCGACGGACTCTGCGGAAGCTGAGTCCCCACCGTCAGGAGGCTGTCCAGAAGCTGCGCCAGAACCTGATGGGACTCTGACACACACACACACACACACACACACACACACGAGCGCGGTCGTGGCAAGGAGGTGCTGATTCGGACGACGCAGAAGGCGGCGACGGAGCAGGTCTCACTCTCGTTGCCCACGGCGGTGACGAGGTCCTCCACGATGCAGTCAGGACTGAAGCCCGGCGTGGTGGACAGGACGCCCAGCAGGGACGCGATTTTCAGCCGCACCGAGTTATCCGTTTCCTGCGGCCACAAACAAAAGCTCACCCGCTTGCTGATGGAAGGAGGAAGAAGCAAGTCATCGGGTACGGGAAAGAAGAAGCAAGCCTTTTGTGGGGCAACCAAACACGGCAGCCTCTTGGAGGGGAGGCGCCCTCTATGTCGGATCAGGAGCCATTACCGCTCAAATTTGCACACGCAGGTGTAAAATGTTGACTTTTTTTAATTCTTTGAAGAGCATGTCAGGAAGGGGTGCGAAGAAGGTGAGAAGTGAAGAACAGCGACAGGAAGTGACATCACCATTGACTGCGAAGTGGACAGGCAAACGGCGACGGTACCTTGTAGTAGTGTTCCAGGAGGATCCTGACGACGCCCTCGACGCTCTCGGCCTCCACGGGTTTGCGGGCGAAGCGCAGCAGGAAGTGCAAAGCGTCGGTGGCGTTGGCGGCCTTGCACAGATCCACGTAAAGAGCCGCCGACTTGCTGGGCTTACACAGACGAAGCTTCTTGGACGCGACTTCTTCGGCGGGAACCTGCGGCGACGACATGGGAGCCTGATGCTTTGAGCCACGGGTTAAATGTGTTCCGTGATCACGCTCGTGACATAAAAAACACTTGGACGTCAAATCACCTTTCCCCATTGAAATGAAACGCCAATCACCCGTTTCGGTCTCATAAACTCACTTTGAAACAAAAACTCTGAAAAACTGAAATAACATACAACTGCAATAAATAACGAATTGCTCAAGGATTATAACGCTAGCGTGCTCGCCTGAGCCACCTCGGGAGAAGACAGGCAGACGGCTTCACTGTTCTTCAGCTCATCTCAGTTCGTCAGTGCGGCGCTAACATTCGTCTTTCTTTGCAAAGGGTTACGACAACGTGTGCCGGTGGATAAGCAACATTGGTGTTTGGATATCCATCGCACGGTTCGACCACATCGATCTCTGGAAATATCAAAAGCACGGCACCAGAAACTGGATTGTATGGACATGAAGTGACATGAAGCTGCACGATATGGCGAGCAAAACGTGGATGTCCATAAAATCCAATGATTGTTGCCACGGTTCTGATATTTTCAGCGACTGGCGTGAGAAGCAACGCTAAGCTTTTGTACACGTCCATGAAGCGCTTTGGACTGCTGCGCGTCAGAAATGGGTGCATTTTCGCCGCTTTTAAAAGAATCGGAGCTTTCTTCATATTTGTCCCGAGAAAATGATGGATGATGATGATTCTGTGTTCATGGAATGGTGTTGAACACATCTGTCGGATAATGTTTCGCTCGTGTCACGTAAGAAGAAGTCAATCTATGTGCGGCTGTTTGTCGTCCAGGCAGCTTTCGCCGCTTGACGTCGGTGTTGTTTTGGTTGTCGTCTGCCTCACTGTCTTCCCTTGTTTGCTCGGACACTCGCGAAGGTGCGACAACACGCCAACAAACTGCTTGCACGCGATTTTTCGTTTCTTTTTCTTATCGCTCCCCGCGCCTTTCTTTTCCTCGGGGGAATTACGGGCCAACGTTAGCAACGCCGCCTAGCCATGAGCTCACTTAGCCGGTTAGCAGCCGCAGCCGTTCATTTTCTTCGCGGTTAGCGCTCAAACGTTCATCGAATCGGCACCCGAGCGCCATTTTCGAGCGATTCCCACCTGGACGACTCTGGAGAATTCCTCATACACCCGCTTTTTCAAATGCGCCGCCATGTCGGCAAAACAAAAACGAGGAGCGCTTGGAACACTCACTGGTCCCGCCGCGTTTTCCGTAGCTACGGCAAGCGAAGCAAAACGCGATTGTAAAACTGACTGCTGGACAACGTCAGTGCGCCCTCCGGTGGACAATATGAGCATCAAAAGTTGCCTTCATTGCACCTCATCTGTTGCCAAGCCCTTGAGACCGGCGACAACTTAACGTGACGCACCCGACGGCGTTCGCGGTTGAACCCCGAGGTATGAATCCGCCGTATTCATACCGTATTCAATACGGCAAGTACGGCTGGATGACTTACATTGTTATGCGTTTTAAGCGTGTGGGAGCGGTCAAGGTATAGGCAGGTGGGGGGCACAAAAATGGAATGCAGGTCTATAAAGTAGCCCGAGGTAAAACGAGGGCTCACTGGAGAAAGTGTTTTTGTTTTTTTTACTTTTTTGTCACCAAAGGAGTGATTCCGGCAGTCTGGCGCAACAAAAACACAGTGACAATCTTATCATTCAGCATTCAGAACAGCTTTTATTTTCTTCCCATTTGCCCTCACTCAACGTTTCCGATCAACGTCTCACTCGATGGGCCCTTGAGCCCCTTTGCACATGCGAGGAGGAGGCAAGATTTGGCCTAAATCGCAGCACGAATAAAGGCGGCTTGAGCCGTGCCGGCCGTCACCACCAGGTGAAGGTGAGCGTGTGGAAAAAGTCATAGCTCCGCGCCAAGAAGTTCTTCTCCATGACGTAAGGCTGGACGTGGACCGTGTAGCCCTGACTCCGGATGTCCTTCTGCACGCAGTCCAGCAAGTCGGCGGCGGTGGGCCCCGTGTTCCAAGGTCCAAAGGTCACCACCGAGTCCTTGTTGGCCCGCAGGCTGCCGATAGCGTTGTCGTAGCAAGCCAAGTCCTCCTCCGTGCGCAGAACGCAGACCACCATGGTCGAGCGGCGGCAAGCCACCGCCTCCGCCCGGGCGATGCGGATCAAAACCTGCGGGGGGGACAACAAAAACGGACTCAGCCCTTCTCAAGAGTTTGGAAAACACGACCGCTGACTTGAAGCGTCTCGTCGTGAGCAACTCCGGACAATTGATTTATGAGATCTATTTTTTTTTTCAGGAAGAAGGAACTGATTTGTCTCCTCGCAGTGGAAGGTGTGGCGAGCTGAAGACCGACCTCAATGTTCTCCTTGTAGTGCGGCACTCTGGCCAGGAACTGCTGGCGGCCCACCATCTCGCCAAAGAGCACGGGACTCTCCTCCAAACGCTTGGCCAGCGCCGTGAGGTTGTAGTGCAACGACTCCTTGTGAACCTGCCGGACATCGGCGCGCAGCTACGTCACAGCGCTCGACTTTCTCTCCTCTTTCCAAAATGGAACGTCGTACATCATGACACAATATTTTTATACTAGATAAAAAAAGGGGTGGGGGGTGGGGGGAGAAAAAAAAAGTGCCACGCCGAGGCCGGCGGTACCTGCGGGATGTCGTGGACGGGCAGTCGTTCGGACCTGAGGAACTCCAGGACGGCCCCAAAGTGTTCCCCGTGGCGGTCCAGGAAGTAATGCCCCTGCGCATCCTTGGGGAGCTTCGGCGGCCCGCAGAACCACTCGGCCAGCTTGGACTCGGGGTACTTGGTGAGCGTGCCGACGCTGGTGCAGAACCTTTGGCCCCCCACGTTCAAGTGCACCACGCGCATGTGCTGAGGACAAAGACAAACGTTGAGCCGCGACGAGTCCTTGCGCAAATTTGGCATTCGGCTTGACTTTGGGAAGCTTCCAGGGGGCCGCCGTCCTGCCGGTTTTCCGACTCTCCCGGGAGTAACACGCCTGATTCCAATCAGCAGCGTCATTCCGATGCTGCTTCGGAGCCGATCGCCCGAATCGGGTGTGTTGCAGCCGGGAGAGCCGGAACACGCGGGACGGTGGCTCTCCAGGCCCGGAGCTGGACGTGGCCGATTCAAATCCACGTCCTGTATTCGGTGTACACGTCATCAAGGACGATTCGCTTGCAAATTAAATTTCAACGATGGGGCGGGAAGACAGGCGCCGTGAAGATAAACAGTCTCCGATAATGGAAGGATGGATACTTGGCCGAAAAGTCTGATCTCGTCACCAACTTCCCGTTCTGATCCCGCAAAAGCAAAGCGGCTGAACGATGCCGATGTTTATTTTCAATTTCCCTTTTCAGGCTTTGTCTACGCCACTCCAGATCAAGTCGAACCACTTTTTTTCGTCGTTTGCTGGTGTAAAACAAACGTTGGCGCGATAATGGAGCCGACGCCACGACGGGAAAAAAGTTGTCGGTAGCGCCACCTGCTCCTGCGGTGGCGACACCGTCGCCCTCCGACACGGAACGGTTACTTTTCACGTTCCGCACGAAACGGATACGAGGCAGCTTCGTTGGTCTTACTGGAGGCGCGTGTTCAGCGCATTCGTCGTCGGCTTTCGAGTCCACTTGGTCCATGTTTGCTGCGCCGTCGAACAGGTGCGGAGGGGGCGCGGCCTGACCCGGATGTGGCCTTGCTTCAATTTACGCGAACGGTGATGTCCCGAAAAAAAAAGGGAAGTGCCTTGACGTAGCGCCTGTCCGATTTTTGCCGCCCCCCCCCCCCACCCAATGAAAGAAACCTCAGCCGGGAAAGTCCTCGTCTTATTTGAAGAAGCAAAACAAGTGCTTGCTTCAAGCGGCGGTGGACAACGTTGGAGATGATTTCTTCTCAAGGGTCCGCGAATATTGCTTACATTCGTTGAGGAAGAAAATTGCTTGATCAGGCAAGCATTCACTTTGTGTTTTTCAAGTACTTCGTTGCAGAACCAATTCATTTGTTCTAACCCCTGCAAAACACGCTTTCAAATTTCTATTTGCTCAAGGTCATTCGTCAAAACGCATTTGGTAAAGAACGTTTCACCTCGACACGACTTCCAAACGACTTGAGTGTTTTTATTTTGACATTTTTGGTCATACTGTAGTGCCCAAAAGATCAGTCGACCGGCCGCGCCCCCCCCATAAAAAAAAAGAATGGTAAGAGGAAAAAAAAAACAAAAGGTGGTTTGTTAATTGCCACATATAAAAATGAAACGTTCCATTTGTTCCAAAGCATTCAAATGTCATGAGACCCTACCAAAAATCTCCATGTGTTTTTGGGAGAGAAAAAAAAAAAAAGCTTTATAGGAGTGCAACTACGCCTGTCACGATAAACCTCCCCCGACAAACAACAGTATTGATTATCTCGTGATGAGTTTTCGTTTCTATTCAATCAATTCAACGGAAACCAATTCAAAGTAAAACGTGACTAAGATGGTGTAATTTGAAAAAGATTGAACGCGAGCAATCCCCCAGGCCAATTTTCTCTCTTTTTCACGACACATTCATCCATACGAATATTCGGATGCGCCGCGCTGCCCACCTTGCGGCCCTCTTAGGCGGTGGGCACGGGGGCGCCCGCCTGGGGCATGACGGGCACGTCGGGCTTGGCGCCCTTCTGCTCCGAGATGGGCGTGGTGGGCAGCGGCTCGTCTTTGGGCTCCACGATGCTGACGTGGTCGGGGAGGGGCTTCTTGGGGCCGATCTTGCCGCTGGGGTCCCACGGCAGCATGATCTTCACTTTGATGCCCAGCACGCCTGCACGAGCACAAACGTCACGCTTTGCCAAGTCGCCGGCCCGCGGCCAAACCGTTCGTCCGTCCGTCCATCTACTGACCCTGCCTGAGCAGAACGTGGCGGACGGCCGTGTCCACGTAGTAGTTGACGGGGTCTCCGCTGTGGATCATGAGTCCGTCCACAAACTTCATGGACTTTGCTCGCTGTCCCCTCAGCTTGCCCGACACCACCACCTCGCAGCCCTTGGCGCCGCTCTCCATGATGAACCTCAGCACGCCGTAACAGGCCCTGCAACGCCACGGCGCCGTCAATCACCGGAGTTTCATTGTGTGCTCGATAACATGCCCTCGCGAAGCACTTTTTGTCACGCTTTCTCCTCCAATTGTGGGGAGCGCCCTTGCCCATCTGGGGCAGACTGACATAGCGCTCATCCAGTCATCAACTCCTCTCATCGGTACGGCACCAATAAATGACTCGTTCTTCGCAGATGCGAAGGAAAATATGTCGACCGCTTTAGTTATATGGACTTCGAGCAACATTTGCCTGCTGGTACGCATTGCTTAGAGATCACCACCACCAAGATGCGGATTGTTAGCCCGTGTGCGTATGGAGTTTGCTGCCGTGTGCTAGCAGAGGCAATGTGGCTGCTTTGAATGTATTTCTTCCTTTTGTTTGGCAGTTAATGTCAGCTGAGAGAGAAGCGAGTTGAAGCACACACCACCATACTGGACTCGTATCTCAAGTTTAAGCTCGAAGGTCAAAGCAGGGGGGGGGGGGGAAAATGGGCCACTCTTATCTCAAAAAACAAATTCCATCACTTGCAATATTAGATCAAGGCAGCAGTGTCGTGCAATTTAAAGTGTTGCCGTTCTCCGTTGATGTCCCTCTCAGACAAATGCCTCAGCGTCTTCAGCAGGTCGAAAACTTTGTCAGGCCGCAGGAAGTCGAAGCAGAATCGCAGGACGCGATCTGAAGCGGCCGCCTGGCGACTAACAAAGTTCGCATCCGACTCGTCATCGTATCTTCACAGAGGGGCAAACCTTCCAAAACGGCACAACGGTCTGCATTTCTTGCAGAGAAAGGACGAGCGCTGACATTCTCGTTGTCGCGATACTTGACCAGGCCGTTATGTCTCAAAATTGTTTGAAAACATGTTTTCTACTCAGAGTAACAGCTTGCCATGACTAATATTTGAACGTGAATATTTGGCAGTTGGTCGGAACAATATTTTTTGTATGAAAAAATAAGCAACAACTGTAAATGAATCAACGGCAACAGGGGAAACAATATTTTGCTTTTGTTACTTGGATGCAGCATAAATTTGGATCCGGTGTGATTCAACCCTGGTAAAACTGCTGTCTGGCTACAAGCCTAACGGGGCCACGTGCAACTGTCGGGACTGAGCAAGGCGGGTGATGATGTTGCGATGCGCGTCGGCTCACCTACGCACGGCCAAACCTCCCAGCAACTTGTAGCGCAGAGATTCAGCCTGAGCGATGGCGCACAGCCCGCGGGTGGCCACCTTCTCCGCATACAACTGCAAGACCAAACAAAATGAGCCCTCAGTGGCCCGCGCGTGTATATTTTACATATACACACACATATATGTATATACACACACACATATATATAAACTTTAATTTTACACTGATTCTCTTTCCATATGTGTTGAGAAGTATTGCAATAAAAACACTGAATGCCCCCCCCCGACATACTGAACAGTTGTGATGAGAATCTTTGTCAAAAATCAGTAACAGTCCTCATTTTGGTCATTGGGGTGCGCGGTGCTCCTGTCAAGTGCAACTGACCTCCACGCTGCCCTCGGGGAAGCCGAACCTTTTCTGCACCACGGCCGTCAGCTCTCGGATGCGACGGCCTTTCTCTCCCAGGACATTCTGGGTCCTGGAGACAAAGAAAAGTGCAGCCGGTTGGTGTATCTCAATGTATTTCACAGTGAAACGATTAATTCCATTCGATTGGATGAATGTGCATCTTTCAAACCCAAAAATGATTTTCCGGTCATTTTTTTTTTTTTTTACTTGGCAGAAAATCCGTTTTAGTGCAGCAGTTTTGTCCCTCTCAGACAAATGCCTCAGCATCTTCAGCAGAAAAACGACTTTGTATTGCCGGCGGGAGCCGAAGCAGGAACGCAGAACGCGAGCTGAAGCGGCCACCCCGCAGCAAACAAAATCCCGATCCGACTCGTCATCGTATCTTCACCGAGGGTCAACTCTGCATTTGACTTTGGACTTCCCATTTACTGCTTTGGCAAAATCATCAAACAGGAAAATACTTTGATCATGAAGTATTGCACCTGCCAATCTACCAATAAAGTAGATCGTGTCATCACCTTCAAATCATGTGACCGGAAGATGCGTTTCAATTGGCCGCCTGAATTTCTGCCTCGGCACATCACAAAGGTGGCGGACCGGCGGAGAGCTTTTCACTTGGCAATGCCAAAACCATCCAACGAGTTCCTCCAGTCCCAAATGAAGGGCACAAGATGAGCTTCAGTTTGTGTCTCCGGCGCACCAATTCCGTTTGTACCGGTGCCACCCGACGCCAATAAAGACATTTTAGGTTCCATTTGCTTTGAGACGCATCTTTCGGAGAGCACCGACCTGGTGGCAAGGATGATGATCTCGGTCCTGGTCGGGGTGACGCGCACCTCCACCCCCGAGTAGCCGTCCTCGGCCAGCTCCCGAGTCAGGAACTCATTCAGCTCAGCCTTGAAGATCCCGTCCGAGACGAACTGCAACCGACAAATGCGGGGCCGCCCCGCCATAAGTGGAACAATCTACATGACCATTACTCTTCTTCATGCCTCATCTCCATACTGCTTTTGCAGGGCGCCCCCAATTGTTAGACCGAGACGTCACATTCAGACTTACAAAACAAGACAATTTTGTGTAACTAAATGTATATGAAAACTCAACATGTTCACAACTCCATGACAACAAAATATGAACTTTTCACTGCTGTTAAAAACAAAACAAAAAAAAAAAACCCCACCATGCAGTACCGTCCAGTGTTTTCACGGCTGTAAAAAACAAAAAAAAAAAAAAAAAACCACCATGCAGTACCGTCCAGTAAATCCTCACGTACTCGTGCTTCGGTTACTGAATTTACTTATGCACAGGACGCCCTTCCATACATAGCCCGTGTTTTTGGGAGCCTACCACTACTTTTCATGTTAAATGGTTGTTGGCCATTTATCCTGGATTGTTCCAAGAATTGGGGGGCGGGGGGAGTTAAAAACATTTTTAAATTTCATATGCATTTCAATTAGCAGCAAGTATACGGTACACCGATTTATGGCCCCTAAGCTCCACTACTCTTAAAAGTTGTGAACGCATATTTGCATGCAGATTTTCATACTTCTTCATTCATTCTTTTTTGGTATTTATCACTGAAAGGCTCCTTGAATGATCCGTCTGCTAAAAAGCTGGTCTCGTGTAAATGAATTCATCCCCGACAGCGACGAGTGGCACCTTTTGGTGTGGACGGTTGCTCAAGTCACTTTTACTCTAGCGTTGACAAAGTTTTGAACCATTAAGGCGAGACCAAAGAAAGGCGCCTTCACTGGAACTTGACCGATTTCCCGTTTGGTTGAACTTGAGGCTGGAGGTGCCGACGACAATTAGCTTGAACGGAAGCGACTGCCAACCAAGTCAACGACTCGAGTGTCCCCGAATGAGGAGGCGTTTGAGCCCCGCTGTCTGAT